CTGGTTTTTTAATTGCATAATAATATGTAGTTTACTTTTTAAAGAGTTCGAAAGCTTAATTGCATAATAAGGAAAGCTTAATTGCATAATAACTATATTACCGTGAATGCAAACTGTTTTCTTAGTTGCATATAGAAAGCTTAATCTGTATAGAAAGCTTATTTATTAGACTAATTGGTATATGGAAACTGGTTTATTAGCTGCTGAATAATAAGAAAGCCTATTATTACTTATTAGGCTAAGCTCTGGATTTGGTTAATAGAACCGGAGGTGTCTTTAAATGGTCCATACCCTATTGTTTTGTCTTCTATATAATTGTGTCTTTTGCTCCCTTTATTTGTCGTGCTTTGGTGCTGCATTCTCCCTCTTAGGTAGTATCCAGTTTACTTTTGAAATTTTTTGTTGTTTGTTGTGATTCTCATCTTCATTATGTCCCGTCTATGTGTATGCAGTTGCTGCTTTCATTCGGATTCTTTCTTGCGGAAGTGAAGATCATGGATCGAACTGGGTAATATTCATCATCTCTGCTGTTTGACTTTTGTTCCTGCCAAGTCTGAGTTGGGGCTGTGGTTCGTTTCCCTGTCTGATTGTCGATTTTTGCGGGCTGCTCTCGTTCTGCTTTGGCTCGGGAGGTTCAAGGAGGCTGGCTTTGGTGTTTGTTGGATTGTTGCATGTTCTCCTCCCTTGTCTTTGTTCTGCCTGTTTTCGGCAGCTGGGTTTTTCTGTTTTTGTGGTTTGCTGTTCCTTTTGGTTCTTTTGCCTTCTTCTCTTTGCAGCGGGGTAGTCTTGTCCATGCAGTGCTCTTTTGTCTGCTTTTCCTTTTGTTTGGTTTTGTTTTTTCTTCCCGGGATCAATGCTCGTGATCCTTGTTCCTCCCCTGTACTCTACCCTTTTTGATTCAGTTAATGATGTCATCACCCTTTATAAAAAAATATATATATATATATTCATCATCTCTTTTTTTATTGTATGTTTTTCGTCTCGTATTACTTATGACAGCTTTTTCTTTGGCCATTTAATTTAGGGATAAGGGTTATAAAAACTTCCTGATGGATGCTGCGAATATATCAGGAATCAAGAGTAGCATTACTGGATCTTCTTCAAAGGCTGGGTTTGGTGGTCTCATTTTTTTTTATTTGTAATTAATATATGTACAGGTGTCAAGATTGTCCCCTGCATATTTGTCTTCGTTTGCGCTAAGTTGGGCTGTAATTTATTATTGCCTCTGTTGGGCTGGGCTGCAATTTATGATGGGCTTTGTTGAGCTGTAATTTATTAGTGCCTCTTTTGGGTTTTGTTATAACCTTGCACCAAGAACACAGATTGCAATGATTTCTCATATACAATTAATTAATTGCAACAAATGCAATGAACTTATTGACTATTTCAACATTTTTTGTTGTCGACAGTATCGTTCTACCAACCCTATACGAAAGAAGCTTTTTCTGACACCGAGCACAGATGTCATTGTTATTGATGACGATGATGATGATTTGTTGGGAGGAACCGTTAAGTCTCCTATGACACCGAGTACTGATGTCATTGTTATTGACGATGATGATGAGCCTTATTTTGAAAGCAAAAAGAGAATTAAATATTTCTCGACCTCTACCATGGAAAAGGTACTTTTTGTTACTAGAATAGTTTTGTATACTATTAATAAGTATAGGAAACTCTCTAATATTTTAGTTTTGCATGGCAGTTTGTGATGCAATTTCCAATCACCAAGTACATGAAATTAACTTTAGAAGAGGTTGATCTGGCATACTATATCTTTGCAAAAGATCTTGATGGTCAACATATATTGGTAAAAAATGGTTCCCATTTTTGTACTCGTCTGTCGCTGTGGAGCTTGTTGCCTAACAGATGGGTACAAGATGATGTAAGTGTTGGTTTTATTTACAAAATTTTCACATTATTCATTTGTAAATAGTCACGTTGTTTGTTGTTGTGTTGAAGGTTATAACAAGTTGTGCATATTATCTCAACCTATCTGAGATGTATGAAGAACGACGTGGCACCCCGTTTCGGTTGTGCTTCCTCCCTACCCAAATGCAGGTAATGATAATATGGAACACTAACACTCACATTTTTGTGAATATTACAAACATGCACTAATTTTTGTTTCAATATGATCCAATAGGTGGGAGTGGAGAAGTATGGTTATAGTCCTCAAAAGTTATTAAATAATTATCGTTCTAGCTTCTTGCGTAATGCCTATGGATCCAAGAAGGTAGACATTTAATGAATATCTCATTCCTATATTTTTTTTGTATGTTTTGTTTAAGGATGATGATCTTCATGTTGATCTTTGGCAGGTCTATCTACCATTGAATGATGGCACTCATTGGTATTTGGCAGTGGTATTGATAGAATCAAAACAAGTACATCTGGTTGACTCAGCACCTATGACAGACCGCCATGGAAATCGTACGAAAGTTGTAGGACGCATGGTTAGTACACTGTTGAACATTTGCCATGAGTTTTTTTCGTAATCAAATTTATTTTAGTTAAGTACATTTCATTATTTTATGCAGATGGAATTTTTACATGATGTATTTGAAAAGCTATACTCTGAGCTAGAGAAGATGAATGAAGCGCCAAACATCCGCAATTTTCACTTGATCATTCCTGATAAGGTTCCTATACAAGAAAACGGGTAAATGATATGAATATTGTCTAATATTATTTTAAAGCATTTGATTGTTAATAAACTTACAGAATAGCTATTTGTATCAGATTTGATTGTGGCATGTGGGTTTGCTTATGGATGATGTACTCAGATGCCATGAATGGATATTGTGTTGGGGTAAGGAAGCATACACTTAATTTTTATTAGTTCAATCACAATAGGATCTCATGCTATTCTTCTTTGTAGTAACAAAATTTATTTTACACAGCCATGTAACGAGGTGGACCGAATGATGCTGGCACTAAAGTTGGTGGGCTGGCCGCAAAATTCGAAGTTGGAGAAAATCCATCGTCATGCTCGTGAACACTCATCTATGTGGAAAGACATGATCCGCAAAGACATGGTACTCATGCATGGAGATGCCAGACTTTGAGCTGAAATTTTTTGTCACCAGTTTGAAGTTGGAAAACAGATTGGATCCCTGTTAGGATTATTTGAGTCAAGTTGAATTGTTTGCATTTAAACTGGTTTGTTTGAATTATTCGAGTCAAGTTTGGATTATTTGAGGTTAAACTGGATTGTTTGAGTTATTGATTTGAGAACAAGAGGTTTATTTGCTTAGCATCATATCACGGATTGATTTTTAGGTGGACAAATATTAATAGAGGCTGTAACAGTACATGGCCGAACTAGGATTGATTTCTAGGTAATGGATCAAATCAATGAAAAGAGAGTTTTGCATCAAAACCATTGTTTTCTGGAGCCAAAACATGAGTATAAATTCCCTTGAAAAATTAAAATACATGTGCTATGTTCATCTTAATAATTGTGACAAAATCTGGAAGAGACAGAATTTGGATCAAAAACTTTGTATGACAGTACCTGCAAAAGTCATTCATTGACAAAGATAACTGAACTCAGATTCCTTTAGCAAAAAGAAACCAGCAAAAGTCATTCATTGACAGCCCTAAACCATCTAATTCCATCGCTGCTCGGTAACAGAAAGTATCCATCTCATAGCACTAATCTTGTAATTGTTCTTCCCATCTGCTGCCACACCAAAATCCTAAATAAAAAAGACCGCAGAAAGCAATTATAAAGCAAACAACAACAGATAAATATACAGGTAAGTAAAGCAAACGACAACAGGTAAAGCAAACAACAACAGGTAAATATACATCAGAGCGAACAACAACAGGTAAATATACATCAGTTCCTTAAGATATGGGATCTCCATCTCCTCCTCGCTAATATCAGTTCATTAATTTAGTGTAGTCACCTTTAATTGACATCCCTCGGGACATGATACCACTGCTGAGTTGGCTCCCCACATCCGAGTTGGCACCTTACGTGGCGATATGTGGCAGCATAGCTACAACCATTGCACTCGCCTTTCGCGTAAGCCATCTAGTACCTCCCAATGCTCTGGCCATTGATCCACGCCTGGCCTTTCCCCATGCTTCGCAGGTCGAGAGCTAGTGGCTTATTTCCTCCCGGTGCATCAAAGTAAGCCTTGTGCCACTTCAGAGCCTGTTGACTTCTTCCTTTTGAGGCTAGGGCGCCTTGAAGCCAGTCGACTGAGCAGACTCCAGTCGAGCGACTCGCCACGTAGGCTAACCTGGTAGGACCACTTGTGCCACGTCAGGTCTCTATCGCCTTTGTTCAGGCCGTGTAACATAACGGGGCCTTCAACTCCAGTGTTCCACGTCTCGAATGGAGGTCCAACATTCTGAAAAAATCATCAGGAAAATGATGACACGTCACAGTGGTGAGTAGTATGTAAGTTGTGCTGATTCTTGTAAACTAATTTTGAAATATACCGGTAAGCCAACAGCTACACTGAGCAGTGCAATTCTGTTTGTTCCATGGTGTAAGTTGACTGGTCCTGTAAAGGTCAACTTTTTGTTTTCTCTAGTCCCAAAGGCTGATCCTGTTATTTGGAAGTGCATATTATTTTACAAGAAATCTGACAACCTATGTAGAACAGGAATCGTAAAGCATTTCGAATCGAGATATAACTATCATGGCCACAACAGAGTTCAAACTACATCTAGATATAGCTTACCAGAATAATGTTCATTGATAAAAACATGGAGAGAATGGCCTGCAGATTGTACACCGAGACTTGGTTTAGGTCCACCGTGGAGAAACGATTCTTAACTCCAACCTGCACAATAATAGCTTTATGAGCTGATTGGCTTTCTCACAGAATATAAACTGCAAAGAATTCAGTAGCCGTCTCAGAGGAAGAAAATAAGAAAGGTTCGAACTCTAAAAAGGGAATAAAGGCAAACTAAATCTAAACTGGATCTGGAAAGAATAAGCCCATTAACACCAAACTAATGAGAGAGCTTTTCTAAAACTTTCCGCAAATAAATACCTCTTTTGCTACCCTTTAAATACCTCTTTTCTAAAATATATTCTGCGCCCACAACCTAAGTAGCTGCCCTTTAAGTACCTCTTTTGCTACCCTTTAATTAACTTCCTGCGGCAGAGGGTGGAAATTAGCTTCCTGTCTAAGAGGCTCAGTCCAGGCGCCCACATGGAAGAGGATGGAAATCAGCATGCGGCAGGCGATGGTCTGACTAGCGAAAGAGAAGAAAAACAAAACCAGTCAGCCGAAGAAGAAGGTATTGTCGAGGAGAATGGAGATAAAAATGCAGAATCTGATATTGAACCTGACGATGAAATCATCGAAGATGAAGAGACTGAAGTTCTGAAAAATCTTACGGCCGAGGACGTTATTGGTCGAAAGTTCAACAGTACTGAGGAGGCTTACGATTTCTACAATAAGTATGCAAGAGCTTGGGGTTTTTCGGTGAGACGTGAGAAGAAGACTGAAACAAAAAAGGGGGAAACAACTTCTCGACTTTTTGTCTGTTCTTGTGCGGGGACAAAACGCAAAAGTAAAGACGAGCTACAACGACCTTCACGATTAAATACAAGATTTCAGTGTAAAGCTAGGCTGCGTGTTCAGCTGGACAAGTCAGATTCAAAGTACATTGTTGACACTTTCTACATCGACCATACCCATAATCCTATTCGTCAAAAGTTGGTGCATCATATGAGATCACATCGAGGCTTAGATGAAGCGACTAAAGCTAAAGTTAGATACCAACGTGATGCAGGTATGAAAACCGCTGACATCATGAATCAGCATGTGCACCAGGCTGGAGGCTATGACAAAGTGGGACACACCAAAAAAGATTTACATAATTTTGCCTCTAAAGATCGTGGGGAAAGGATTAGCGAGGGAGATGCTGCCACGGCACTCGCATACCTTAAGTCTAAAATCAGCGGAGACAACCACTTCGTTTTGGAACCTATTTTTGATGAAGATAAGCGACTTCATAGCATATTTTGGGCAGACAGCATGAGCGTAGCAGATATGGCGTGCTTTGGAGATTTGCTAGCATTTGACAGCACGTACAAGAAGAATGTTTATAACATGCCTCTAGTTGTTTTCTCAGGTGCACATTTCTACCTTATCGTTACTACATTCATTGATGAAATTATCGTTCTGCTCTATTTTTGGTATATCCGTTGTACTTAGTTTGCTGTCTATTAAAATATGCAATTGGATTCTATGTTTTTAATGTACAAGCAAAACTAAGTCTTTTGCTACTGTAGTAAAGTATGGCAGTGCAGAATTTTTCCTCAAAACCAGCTGCTTTCAACAAAATTTCATTAGCTTTCGCTAAAAACACTTGTCTTTTGTTCAAGTTTTGTAATAATTTGCTCGCTAATTTGTTTCCCTAGTCCGACCAATCTGTTTGCTCACTAATAATTCAGCAACTTCTCAATTTGGTATTCAACTTACATACATTGGTTTTGGCACTAGGTATCAATCACCACAAAAAGAGTTGTATATTTGGATGTGCTCTGCTAGCTAACGAGACTGAGGAAAGTTATGACTGGGTGCTAGGGGTACTGAAGGAAGCAATGGGGGACAAAGAACCTCGTACAGTTGTAACAGATGGCGACAAAGCAATGCGCAATGCCATTCAGAAAGTCTTTCCAGACGCAACTCATCGTTTGTGTTCATGGCATATTGCCAAGAATATTGTGAGTCGTTTCAAAAACCACAAAGAGTTCGAACCTGAATGGCAGAAGTTTGTATATGCTGATTATGAGTATGATGAATTTGAAGAAAAATGGGCAGCAATGGTGGAAAAGTTGTCGCTTCATAATTCTAAATGGGTATCGGATTTATTTGGAAGGCGAGGGGAATGGGCTTACACGTACCTACGGACTTACTTCTTTGCAGGATTGTCAACAACGTCAGTTTGTGAAGGACTTAACTCACATCTTGCAAGGTTTGTAACTGAGGACCACAATCTACTCGAGTTTTTTATCCATTTTGATCGTTGGATAAAAGAACTAAGGGAAACTGAGGTGAAATTAGATTTTCAATCCAGCTTTGGTTTACCCGAGATAAAACATACAGCCTTGAGGACTCTTGAAGAGAGTGCTGCTAGGGAATTCACCAATAAGATATTTGGAAAATTTCGAAAAGAGCTAGGCAAAGTTGAGGGTATCAGGAAGAGAAATGTTGAGATAAATGAAGTGTGGCACAATTACCAGGTGACGTTGTTTGGCACAGAAAAGATGTTCAATGTCAGTTTTGATGTTGAAACCAAGAAGATGAAGTGCAGTTGTGCTAAATTTGACTACATGGGAATTCCATGTTGCCATATGCTCTCTGTGCTAAAGGAAGAGAACATACCGACAGTGCCACAAACTTTGGTATTAAAAAGATGGACAAAGAATCCAAAGACAATAGACGACATGCAAGAGCAACAGAGTATCGATGATCCTAGTCTATTCAGTGTTAGGTACGGGATGCTGCAGTACAGCAACTTTCGCTTTTGCTTTCTAGGGGCAAATTCATCCGCAACTTATAGGTTTGCACAAAAAGGAATGGATAATTTGTGTGACCAGTTAGCGACGATGCAACAAAATCCTATTGAGGGAGGCACGATCCCTATACCAGAGGAATATAAAGGAGTATTAGACCCATTGAAGGTGCCATATAAAGGTGGTAAAACTGGAAAAGGAAAGTCTTCTGGTAAACAGAAACGAAAGTGCGGTAAGTGCGGACGAGATGGCCATTACCAAAGCACTTGTACTAATTCTCCCAGCAACTCACATGATGATGAGCCAACTAACCAACCGGTAAAGGTAAATTTTCTGGACAAATCTTGTGTATTTAATTAGTTAATAACCATTTATTCTTCTATAAGTATGGCACTAAAACCTAACTTTTTGTTAACGTAGAAGAAGCCAAAAAATAGTGCTACCAAGCAGGATGAAAGTCAGCCCGATAACAACAATCCTGGCCAAAGAAAGGAAGCAGAAGATGTTGATGGTTTGGACGACGAACCTCAAAGGGTAACTTTTGTGAAATCTTATGCGCTTACGAAACAGATTTCATTCATTCTTGATTTTGGTTGTTACAACATTTCTATTTTATGTTACAGAAGATTCCGACCACAAGAAGTGCTACTAAGAGAAAACAAAGCAGCACCAACAAGTGATTTGGAAAAGTGCATCGCTATAGATTTCGAAGGATATTGTTCATTTAAGTTTACGGGTTTCTTTTAGTTAAGTTTGATTGTTGCAAAATTATTTGATCACTGTACGTTATGGATGGTTTAAATTCTATTTAACATTGTGGATTTTTCATCTAAAGGTGGAACTGATCTTACTTGGAATCATCCAAATGTGATATTCATTTCATAGTCTAATTACTGTTCATAGTCTAATTACTGTTCAAACGGGAAACCATGAGTAAAAAGTAGTAGGAATCTCACCTTAGCCACGGTATAAACGCCAAACAGACTAGTGTCCTTGTAGTTGGTGTTCATTGCCATCACACTGTCAGCAAGCGCATCCTCTTATTCCAACTTTGCATATCGTAGGTGCAATGGTTTCACATAATCAGATTTGTGTACTGTCAGTCGATGCTCTTTCTCTTCTTCCTCCTGATAATCATCTTCATTTTCTTCTAATTCTTGTGTTGGCTGCTTTTTCGAAGTTTCTTTCTTGGAGAGTTGAGCTCGAAGCTCCCTAATTTTCCGCTTCTTCGAATTCAGAACTGCAAGGAACTGGACCAGAAATGAGGGAATTAGTTATACTATGAAATGCTAATGTGATGGATATTGAACAACTCAATCACTACAAAAGATCAGTGGACATGCTACTTTTCCTAAGTTTTGGTCTCTGTCAAACCTCATTTAACAAACACCACAGTAATTATAATAACAACCTAGAACCAACAGAATCAAACACCAAAATCCATTATTCCATTACGGGCAAAACATGCGTCATTTATTCTCACATAGAAACAACGTCACCATTGACTGCTACTCATGAGTCTTATCTCAGTCCTCATTAAGTATAATGATCAACTTTATAACAGGAGAGTGCATGATCAACAATTAATCATTTTCACTAGCTTATCAGTAATGCTTAGCTTCCTTTATGATTTCAAAACCTCTAGTTTGTAGTTTTTTATTTCTTGCCTCAGTTTGCTGCTAATTATTGGTTAGCTTCTTCTATTTGCTTCAGTCAAAACATGCTAGAGCTGCTTCACAAGGTTTAATACTAGAGCGAAACTGCAAACTCAATTTACTTCAGCTCTTCTAGCTAAAATCTTTCGCCTTAAACTGAACCCAAGACTGGACCTTGCGTCCTCAGCAGAAGAGATCTTCTGTCTCTCAAGGTTTGGTTTACAATTGGCTCATTCATCTGAACGGTTGCCTGGTCCCTGTCTTGTAAGTGTTTTTTTTTTTACTTCTGATGCAGGGGAGAAGAGTCGGCTGTGATGGTTCCCATGTCCTTAGTTCAGTCATTCCCAACTGCACATTAAACATCGCAAGGAGAAGTGAGGAACAAGGTCCCTAATATACTAGGACAGACCATTAGTAGTAGTACCATTGACCATGGAAGATATACAAAAAGAAAAGTAAGTGAAGTGAATAGAAACATAAAGCAACAAGAACTCACAGTATCGAGGAACCAAACATTGAATTAAACCCATGAAAGCATGTTGGTCCATCACACATTAGATCTCCGCTGCTATTCTGAATCCTCTATCGCTCGATCTTGAGACACCAAACCTTATTGCAGCTTCCCATCACCATTTCCAGCACACGAGCTTCATATTTATATATTCTGTATACCACGCAGGAAACGAACCCACCTGATTGATGTGTGGAACCAGTCCTGCAGTGATGCCTAAAACAACTCTGACAATTGGAACTTCTTGTCCTCCATTTGTACAAGATAACTGCTCTTTCTATCTCTGGGTAGCAACTTTAAGCACAGTCCCTCATACATCCAATCTCCTTCTGCAATTCCAGTTCCTTCACTGTAAGAGCCTCGACTTCAGTTTCCACTTCTCTTCCTGCTGCTGGTAGTGCTGATGCAGATGGAATAAGTGAATTTATGAATCCCGCCGAACTGTTTACTATACCAGTTCAGATCGCGCATAGTCCAGTGCTTTCTGCTTCACCGCCTCAATCTTCTATTCGTCGCCCATAGACTTCTCATACTCGATATACTTCTTGAACAATAACTACAAATTGAGGTAATGTAGCAAGATAAGGATCAAAGGTCCATGATAACTGCAATCCGTCAAACCACCACCAAACCATTACAAAAACCACATTCCATATTTGGGGTCAATTCCATAACTAACAGCATCAGAAGGCCCGAATCATACAATTCCTTCAATCTTCCTAACTTCTAATGGCGTTTGATTCACAGAAGGGGTAAACGGAATCCAAAAGCAAACCAAATTGAACACAGTTCCAAACGGGACAAAAATTAAGGAAAAAGTGAATCACTCACTCGTTTGCAGCCATCGCCGGCATCGTCGAACCTCTAGACCGAGCCAGGGATTTGAAACCCCAGGTGCTTCTCCGCCAATTGGATGTACTCGGATACTGGCTGACCCACTGCGCCGCTCTATCTCTCGCATCCTCTTCCCTAGCTGCAAAATTTGAAGCAAGAGTTAGGATGATTAAAGAAACCCCATAGAAACGGAGAGATTCAAACACAAGAGTCGATATCAGTCGAACAAGAAAAGTAAGGGGAGATATAGTTTTACCGTGGCAGACCCAAGAGTGGAGGCCGTCGGTGATGGAGAGGTCGAAGCGACCCTCGAACCACGTTCCCTTGACGAAGACTGGTTCGCTCGCAGGGGTGTAAATCTCGAGCTTCTTGCATGTGTGCCTCGTCCCCGCCGCCGCAGTATCCATTCTTCTCCGCCGTCACCATCTTCTTCTCCGCCGTCGCCGTCTTCTTCTTCGCCGTCGATGGAGATTAGCAGAGCAGTCAAGAGGGTTTTGAGAGACCAGGGTAAGGGATCAAATTTTTTTTTTTTTTTTTGGAAATGATCTGATCTTTCATTTCCCTCTTTGAGAAAAGGGCCGGTCGAAAATGTGGAGGGTATTTTTCAGTTCTCAAATTTTGATTGGGCAAAAAATTGGAGGGATTTTTCCCTCTTAAAATTTTAGTTTGATAATTAATTGTTTCCGGTCATTAACAAAGGAAAGATTCATCATATTTTTTTTATTCTTCTTCATAATTAAATATGGTAAGTTTTTTTTCTGGATTCTTTAAATTATTTTTAGCATGAAAATAGGTTTCATGCCTACATGTTGTGATTATAAAACTCTTTTCTTGTAGTGTGTATATCACATTGTAGTATGAAGAAGAACCCTAAACCCTAAACCATGAACCCTAAACCCTAAACTCTAAACCCGCTCATTCCACATGCTCTTGCTCGTTCTAATTTCGTTCCATGAATCACTGTTGAATGGGGATAATAGTGGAGTCAAATGACCGAGTCACTTTACAATATAAACTATGTAACCAAAGCAATCCACAAGACATTACTAAGTTAGTTGGCGAGCTATATATGAAGTCACTCATGAACTACTACCCTAGTTGGCTCGAGGTTCAATACTAACCTAATAGGCTCTTGGTTCACACTTTCAGGTCATCTTGTGATGCAAACACAAGATACACCAACTGTATATAGCTCATGAGATTGTACAACTGAATATAACTCATCAACATAATATAATTTGAATCTTCGATCTTCTTCCTATCTCTCACCATGAAAATTTTACTCCTATAAGCTAATACAACATATGATATCACTATACAAAACTACTAGACGACATACAGTTACCAAAGACTCTGACTTTCGTCAATAATAACTATATTAAAGGGGATGGTGGAGGAGCCCCACGGTGTTTAACACTACATTACCACCAGTTCTCACAAACACTTTTCAACGATGTCACAATACTACTTTAAGTGGCAGGGTTAACCCCTAAAAACACATTTGTTAAATATTTTAACAATGTCACGTTAGTTTGTCTAACCTTTCAGGTTTAGGTTAATTAACCTTTAACCATACTTGTTAAGCATAAACAAAACAAGCTATGTAACAATGTGATAAGAGTTGGTTGAACCATTAAGGTCACATTCAAAGTAAAAGTATCTTAAGTCACACATTTAGTTTGCCGATAACGTCTGCGGAGAAGTGGATGTAATGTCGAGTATCAAAGTCACGTTCAATGGTATCGGTACTCATCTAAGAGTTGGTTCTACATGGTACTCTGGTTTTTGGATCAGCTCTAAAACTCGAGATTCTTAATTCGAAACAACAGGTAAGCGAAGAAGGCTACATCAATTGTGAATTGTTGTATGACAAGTGGGTATAACAAAGAGAACATAAGTCTTCACATATTTCGATCTCAAAGATTACTCAAAGTCGGACGATAAGCTCATTACAAGTACCCAAAACCCAACTTGATGTCTTATTCCTTGCCAGCTACACTACCATGTGCTTCTTCTGATCCTCATAGTAAAACCCAGAGCCCAACATAACCCAAAATACAGAATCAATGACCAACAAATCTGCCATGGGCAGAGTCAGGATTCCAAGTTCAAAGGACTAAAAGAATGTCAAACAAAATAACAAGATGCCAAAATATTATATATGAGTTATTATCTTCAAAGTACTCGACACTTTTTTAGATCAATCAAGTCACTCAAAATAGCGTATTAGATAAAAAATGTTTACACAAATCTCATTCTAATTAAATAACAAGACCGTAAGTCACAAAGTCATCAATAATATTTTTATGTAGTTTAATGAACTCGTTTTAGCATAAAACTCATTCACCACTAACATTACATACTAGAAGAGTTAAAACAAGATGAATCATCTAATAAAGTAATTTGACTTCCTAGAGTCTTCCAAACCATGAAACAGTTAAGCATCATATGATTGATTACATTTAGTATTAATGTGGGAGCCATATATAATAAAATAATGATTTAAAAAAAATTGTGGAAGCCATATAAAATTCTATGCTATAACTGGCCTTCGATCTCATGTCCCAAGGATGACAAGCAAGAGTCCAAACCAATGCGCTACCAACTCTTTATTGTTTCAATTTTGCCAATGGCATAATTATTATGGTTAATTAGTTCATTAAATTTCAGGGCGCTCAACTGCCAAACTTCGCCCCTGTTACCAGAAACCCAAATCTGGCTTTTCTTCCCCAAAACCCAGAAATCGAACAGAAAAATTATCCTTCCTATAATTGCATCGACAAATTCATTCATCGGCGGCGGGGAGAGGGGGTGGTTGAAGAGGTCGGCAGCGATTAGGATAGGATTTTGAGTAGGAGAATGCAGGGGAAGAATGGCGCCGGGCAAGAGAACTAGCGGGAAGAGGGAAGAGCAAAGCTCGATTGATCGTCGTCCGGTCTCCGGCACCCTCGATTCTTCATACCAGTCGACGACCTTGGAGCATGTCCGAAGCGGCGTTTCGACTTCCCTGGCAGCGGTTACAATCCGAAACGCCCTGCTGCTTCTTGACCGGAGCTGGAGTCTCCGCTGGGAGCTCCTTCTATCGCCGCCGGCACCCTCGCTGGGAATCGACGGAGATTCTGCAAACTATCACCGTCGGCGAGAGATACGACCGGTTGAGGGAACTATAATTTTTTTTTTTTTTTGAACAGTGGGAAGTAGAAGAAGGCAAACGACGTGTTTTAAGATTGGGTGTTTTAAGAAATTGAAGTTGTATATAATTATAAAGTTTGGGTGTTTTAAGTTTATAATTTGGAAACAAGGTACTATAATATATATAATTGTTAGTTAAGGGATTGATATGAGGAGAATGTATAATAAAATTTATATGGGACTAAACCGTGAACAACCATTAATGAAGGGATATAATTGCAATTGTATTTATTATTAATAATTACCTTAATTATAATTAAATTAAAAATAATAAATAATTAGTTTATAGGTGTGAACGCAGGCGTACACCGTACACCTGGTGTACGCTAGCCTTTGCCATATATATATATATATATATATATATAGAGAGAGAGAGAGAGAGAGAGAGGAAAACAGAATTCAAAGCAGTCATACTCATAACAATGGGAAGAATCTGCTCTGGGATGTCAATCTTCACTCCTGGGGATGCAATCTGGTCTTCAATGGTGAGAAATCCACTCCAAATAGCTCTTAGGGTTTGTTCTTTGCACTTTCTCTCTCTAAAGCTCCATTTTTTGCTCAAAAACTCGATTCCCTCACCTTTGTCTCGAATCTGCCTCAAAAACCCGATTCTGGGCGAAATACAGGCTGAATTACGGTCGTAAACATGGTCTGCCCGTATTTCACCCAAAACGCGCGTTTCACTTAACACTGAGGAAGGGAATTACGGTCGTCTTTACCCAGTTACTGCCAGTATTCGAGTAATTACGACCGCAATTGAATTTGCTCTTGCCCGTAATTTGCTCTGCGACAGACATTCTCAAGGATTTGGCTCGGCATTGCATTTACAGTCAGGGCAGAAGCAATTACGCCCGTAATTGTGCAGGGGATGCCCGTAATTTGCATCTTGAATCGCTAACTGACCTCCAAATGACCCGAAACTTGCGCCTATGCATCCCTTTACTTACTAGGACCTGAGATATGACAAAACAACACAACCTAGCGTAAATTAGGCCAAGGAACCACAATTAGGAGCTAAAATGGTCAGGAAACAAGAGTGCCAACATGTGCAAATACGATGCTATCACTTAGCAACCTAAGGATTGTGCATGTCCATGCTTAGCAATCTAATTACCCATTTAACCTAGTCTAGAGAGGGAAACCCCCTTCCAAGGGAGTCTCAATTGAGTTGGTATCCCTAGGGCTTTTAAAGCCTTCTAATTAGTTTAATTTAGGGCAAACCTCAATATTGGATTAAGCAATTTGGTTGAGCGCTATTAAGCCGTCCAACCCTTGGGTTGAGTGAGGGAGTAAGTCAACCATTGATTTCCTAAACCGAGAGGGCCTAGTGACAACCTATAATGCATGCCTCAGTTTAGCAATCATGAGCGTGGTTTACGAACATGTTTGCGTCCTCTAGCCGTTAGCGATCACCTTGCCCATCACAATCATTTCGGTTCACATACCATCGTAGTAGTTAGGGGGAAGCGACACCCGAGTGATCCTTCCACAAAAGAGCTTTCAAAACCATTCACCTTTGTCTTGTTTTACTTTAATTAGCAAAATTTTCAACCAAACTTTGTTGCTAGATAATGATGCAAATGACTGAAGCAGGGGAAGACGGATCGGCCCGAGTTGATATTTAAACATACTTATCCTGTTTTGCACCCGACTAAGGTTTATACTTGGGCCTTAGGCGGGAAATTATTGTGGTATTCGGGAGGAGTCAAGTTTTTGGCGCCTTTGCCGGGCACAACAGTTTTTTATCTTGAAAAAGTTGTTTGGTGTTAATCTAGCTTTTATTTTCTAGTTTTGTAAGTGTGTGTGCTTTGCTTGTGCTAGAATTGATGTGTTTTCCGACTGTGTGTAGGCGGTGCATGACCCGGAGTAACCCGACACCTTTGCTACCACTTGACGAGGACATAAAACAAACTCTCTGACTCCTAGAAAGGGAGAGAGAGAGCTAGCGGAGGCAATAAGAAGGAGTGAAAAAAGGGGGGGAAACGTTTGGATCCCGGTGTTAGTGGAGAAGAAGTTGAAGAAGTGGAAGTTGAACTCGTCGTTGTAGTAGAAATGACGGGGAACCAAAGGCAACATTTGGGTCCCGGTGTCAGCTGAACGATGCGGCGGGGGAAGATGAAGCCCCGAGGACAATGGGGGTACTATATGGCCCCAAGGCCGGCGGACATTCAATCGCCAATCCTACATCCTCCGGTGGCGGCAAACAATTTCGAGA